CTAGAGATTGGGGGTCAGAAAGGGAAGGTCACATACAAATGAAAAATCAGATTGGCTTTAGATTTCAACAGTAGCACTGGAAGAAAGAAAACAATGAAACTATGACTAGCAAACTTGAAGTAAAAGTTACTTTCAACTCAGAATTTTATACCCAGCCAAATTATTGATCAAATGTGAAGGAAGAATATTTTTTTTTCAGTCAGGTAAAATGTCAGAAAGTTTTTGTTTTCTATGTATCCTTTCTTAGAAAGTTACTAAAAAATGTACTCCAAGGAAATAAGTAAGCCAATAAAGAAAATACAGGAAACAGCAAACAGGGGAACCAGTACAGGGGAGGATAAAGAATTTTAAGGATGATGAAAAGAGAAGACCCAGGATAACAACTACGAAATAGGCCTAGAAAGTAACCAGTCCTAGTTGCATTAAGAGGTTCCAGGTTAGCTGTCTCAGGAAATGAAGCAAACAACAACAAAAAATACTTTCTAGAAAAACAAAAATGCATTAAAAGAAGAAATGGTGTCATAGTACTCTACATGGGTCAGCTGTGAACATTTACATAGGTATAATACTGTAAACACTAAATATTGGCTTAATAAACACCTGTGATAACTATAATTGTGGAGGATGGTAGAGGCAGTTTGTGCGTATAGAGGTGAATCTATATGTGAAACAGTAAGGAACATCTCGCCTAGAAGAAAGCCAGTAATATCTAATATCTATAATTGCTATATCAAGAAACAGCAATAAAAGCAAGTTACTGTATTTATAAATATGAAAGCAAACACAAGAGGAAACAGCTAGGAGAAAGAAAATGGTAGCTTCTAAAGTGCAGATGCTGGGACAGAAAACAGCTGCTTTTCAGATATTCTAATTTTAAAACTGTATTTTTCTAATGCTGATAAAACAAGGAACCTGAACAAAATCTCACAGCAGTTAACTCAGATCTTCAGTATTATTTCATGGTGTTAAACAAATGACATCTAGTTTGTTCCGTCAACGAAACTAAATGGCTAATATAAAACCAATCTTTAATGATCAATGTGAACACAGTACAAACAGCCCTATTTTAATCCTAACTCCACTAACTCTGTGAAGTAGGACAAGTTGCCCAATCACCCTGCACACGTAATCACCTCCTCAAAATGGTTTTGCAAGAACAATTAAGTGAAAGCACCTAATGCAGAGCCTAACCCATCAACACTTTCTGCCAGTCTTTCTGTTCCCTAGCTACAAACCCCTATTCTGACCCCAAGCTGCCTTGTTGCTTATAGAGTATTATGGACAACTGAGCACATATCCTTCCTCACGCTGGAAAATCAATCATGATGAGTAAGCAGACTTATCTTTGTATATGAAGGGCAGCATTATTTTTGTTATATGAAGGAGATTATCCCCATTATCCACATTCTGGATTACTGCCTGCTTTCAAGAGCTGTCCCAATTAGTCTACAGTACTTGGACAGAATCATTTTTTCATGTTCTGTTTTGTAGGTTTGTAACATCTTCAAAAAAAAGAGAAGAAAGAAGAAAGAAGAAGAAGAAGAAAATGTACATTCCCACAGTCTTCATCCCTACTCTCCCAATGTACAACTTCAAAATTTTCTATTGCAGACCGTATCTGGCCCCCAGTTGGCCTGAGGCCATCTCCTGCTTACTGCAGCAAAAGAGCAAAATCAGCCTAAATCAGCTAATTTAACTGTTTACCAATGTTTTCTTCCCTTTTATGGCTAAATTCATAACATCATGCAAAGCACAAAGATACCTTAAAACAAAACAAGGAGGTAACGGGATTATCTTTATCACTAGGTCAGTAATCTTTACTATCTAGACCAATCAAAGGTCGTAATTGATTTTATACACAGTATTCATACATGTAAAAACAATCTGGCAGACTTCAAAGCACAGATATCATAAATCATTAAGACTCTATTTTATCATTAATTCAACAAACACTGTGCTTTAGCACTGGGGATGAAAAGAATTAAGATATAATCTTATTCTCAAATGTAAAGGGAAGAGGTAAAAAAGGACCATCGAGAGCAACAGAGAATAAAGAAATCCAGGAAACTGACAGCAATTCCAGATTACATATAATTCTTAACATAGTTGAGACTAAAGAAAATTATAAAAATTGAACACAGCTCTGAGTCTCCTGAGAAAGTATAAAGAGAAACAGGATAGCTGACAAAACAAAAACAACCTAATAAAAGCAGTCACTTGTTTAAAAAAAGAAAAGAAAAAAAGCTTAATACTGGGGTCTTAGGAAGAACTTGTCTCTAAGGTCTGCATTTTATAGGAATCAATAAATTTGAAATTTCTTCATTAGATATTAATGAAAAAAAGATGTCTTTCATGGCCCCTTTTGGTATGTATTAGTTCTAGATAAGATGCAGATAAGATTAAATCACACTTCTGTGAAGAAACTTCTATGAGGACCACCTTATGAAAGTAACGTAATTCGTCCGGGTGCAGTGGCTCACGCCTGTAATCCTAACACTCTGGGAGGCCAAGGAATCTGGATTGCCTGAGCTCCGGAGTTCCAGACTAGCCTGGGCAACATGGTGAAACCCCGTCTCTACTAAAATACAAAAAAATAGCCAGGCGTGCCGGCGTGCGCCCATAGTCCAGCTACTCCGGAGGCTGAGGCAGGAAAATTGCATGAACCTGGGAGGCGTAGGTTACAGTGAACAGAGATCGCGCCAGTGCACTCCAGCTTGGGCAACTGAGGAAGACTGTCTCCGACAAAAAAAAAAAAAAAAAAAAAAGTAACATAATGCAAGTATATTGATTTCAGGTGATGCCTTTGTCATTTCGTTTAGATTTTTATAAATGTATGTTTTGTTTCCCTACATGACTTTAAACTCCTCAAGGCTCATGTTGTCTGCTTCCATTTGAATTCTATTTAGTAGACTGCTCTACAGTTGCTGCTCAACTATAACTGATAACATGTTATGCAGTCAATATTTGTGTTATTAGTCTTCCCTGCTACACTATGAATTCCACAGTGTATTTAGAACAAGTACAGTGAGTTTTGATCGCGACCATATCCCTCCAAGTCTAGAATAGGATCACTCCGTAAGCATTCGCTCATTGAACGGATTAAAGAAAGCACAACGAAAAAGTATGAAAGGAGAGAAATAATTTTGTTAAACACAGTAATTTTGAGTTCTAAGGCTGTTCTCAACAAGAGCTGAAAGACCTTAGGTAAGTTACTTAACATTTGATTGTCAATGCTTTCATCTGTAAACTAGAAAAATTAAGATACTTCAGATTTAAATGTTTTTAATATGTGTAAAATATTTAACACAATACATGAAAAAGAACTCAATAAATGTTAATTCCTTTACTTTCTCTTACATCTTATCTATCCATAAAACAGTGCCTTCCAAGAATAAAGTATTTCAGTAAAAATACAACAGAATTCATTACTTTCCTTTGAAAAAATAAATTTCATCTCATTAATCTTTAAAATGGAGGGGAAAAATAACTCTTTTAAGTGGAGGGAAAATTCCTGAACTGCTTTCAAAATATTACAAACGCAAAAGCTAGTTAAGAAACAAAACAATGTCAAGAATGGTGGCACCGGCCTGTAGTTCCATTTACTCGGGCGGATGCCTTGAGGCCAGATCAGCCCGGGCAACACAGCAAGACTCCGTTTCTTTAAAAAAAAAAAAAAAAATTGAGGCTTGAAGCAACAAGAGGAGGAAATCACCTCATCTACTGCTAATAGAGAGAGGCTTTTAAGCAACCGTTTATTTAAGGTGGAAAAAAGTGAAATTCAAGTTAACATTACTTGACAGTACGTTTCAGAAAAAAATACTCTGCAGAGCCGGGTGTGGTTGTCCGAGACTAGTCCCAGCTACTTAGGAGGCCGAGACAGGACAGTTTGAGCCCAGGACTTGGAGTACAGCGTGGGCAACAGAGCGAGACCCCATCTCTTTAAAATACAAACACTCAGCCATCCTTTGATCTGAGTTGAAACCTTAAAAATAAAATATTTTAAACGCTTTCACTTAAAAGTGGAACACGACCCAATCCTAAAACATTACTTCATGACAACTTTTTGGCTCCAGCCATTCTTCAGTATTCTCCTCCCGTAGTGAGCTTAATCCGATACCTCGCTGTTTCTCTCGCACCACCACTTCACACGCGGTGTACAGACCAAGTTCTGTCATTCCTATAATTACCACACCCCCGTCAGCCGCTCCAGGCCCATGTTGTTATGACATCTGTAAACTGCAGCCGGCCGTCTCCATCCCCCGTTTCCCCCACCTCCCTCCGGGCTGCCGGCTCTAACCCCGGCTGTAACTTGTGAATTCCCAAGACGGTCCCTTCCTGCCAGGGTTAGAATTTTTACACGCCACCCCTGCTCCTTCCTGCCTCTGTCACAGCGCTCGGCGCGGCCCACCCCCGGCTCCCACCAGCCGCCCAGTTGCGGCGCAGGCTCCGCGCTCGCCTCCTCTCCGCCCGCTGCCTCGGCGCCCCGCAGTCCCCGGCGCCGCTTCCAGCCCCGCCGCTGCGCCGCGCCTCGCCGCCCCGCCCCGCCTCGACCGGCGTTCCTGATGGCGATCACACCAGCACTCCCCACCCCCACCCTCTCCTCCGCCGGCCGCGCGGCCGTTAGGACAGTCGGGACCGTGACGCACGGACGCGGCGCGAGCTTCAGGACCCAGGCACCCGAGCACGAGCCCCGGCCGGCGCCAGCCGTCGCCCCAGGGCCTCTCCCAAGTCCCGCCGAGGACTGCCCGGATCCGCCGGTGGCAGGGGGAGGGGCCGGGGCCGCAAGGCCCCCACACTCACCAGGCTCACGGCAGCCGATCCCGGTGCCACCGCTGAAGTGAGCCCCTCGCTGGCCCGCCCGCCGTGCCGCTCCCGCGCACAACCTCGAAGAGCTGGCTCGCGCCTCGGCGGTGCTCACCAGGCCTCGCTCTCCGCCGCCGCGCACCGAGAAGCAAGACTCAGCTCTGCCGGCGTTCGCAGTGCGCCTGCGTGCGGGGGCCGGCCGGAGCGCCTGCGCCCGTCTCTCCAGCGCTTGCCGCAGAGCCTGCCGGGAAACGTAGTCTTGTAACGCTCTCTCGCTAGACGCTCCTTTCTGCTAGCGCCCAGCCTGTGAAGAGTCGGGGATCGGGGAGAGGGTCTCACTAAAAAGGAGGTTTGCAGGCCTTGGCCAAGGTTGGAGAAAGTTATGTGTACAAACCTGTCTTTGCTAAGCTCTTCCAGGGCGGATCGATCCTCACCTCTGTATGTCTAGCCTCTAACATAGTAGGTACCTAAACACACTTTGATGGAATAATTGAAAGCAGAGAGAGTATTACAACAGTAGTACGTCAGAGCCTCGTGTCTGAAGGGTTCACATGCAGCATGAAAGCAGGAAGCTTCTGGACACTCCTTTTTTAGTTCTCTCCCATCCCCTTTGCTTGATACTGTATGAGTAGCATCAAAAATCATTAAGGGCTGGGGGCAGTGGCTCACACCTGTAATCCCAGCACTTTGCAAGGCCGAGGCGGGCGGATGACTTGAGACCAGGAGTTCGAGACTAGCCTGGGCAACATGGCGAAATCCCCTCTCTACTAAAAATACAAAAATTAGCCCGGGGTAATGACCGGCTCCTGTACCCAGCTACTTGGGAGGCTGAGGTAGGAGAATCACCCAACCCCGGGGTTGACCATGAGGCTGCAGTGAGCCAAGATCGCACCACTACACTGGACAACTGGAGTGAGACCCTGTCTCAAAAATAATAACAATTAAGAAACTACATGGATCGGGCACGGTGACTCACGCCTATAATCCCAGCACTTTGGAAGGCCGAGGCGGGTGGATCACGAAGTCAAGAGATGGAGACCATACTGGCCAACATGGTGAAAACCTGTCTCTACTAAAAATACAAAATTTAGCTGGGGTTGGTGGCACGCACCTGTAGACAAGCTACCCGGAAGGCTGAGGCGGGAGAATTGCTTGAGCCTGGGAGGAGGAGGTTGCAGTCAGCCGAGATCAAGCCACTGCACTCCAGCCTGGGCAACAGAGCGAAACTCTGTTAAAAAAACAAAACAAACAAACAAAAAAACTACATGAAACACAAATACTCATTTTACTCTCAAGTGCTCTCAAACAAAAACTTGGAGCAAATGATTGTTAATGTTAAATTTGATGGAATTCTTTGGGGGACCAGATGGAGTAGTGGCTTCAAAAGAAGAAAAACTAAAGCCAACCTAGCAGGGGTCAAGGAATATTAGATAGGATTAAAACACACACCAATAGGCAAGGAGAAAGAGATGGGGTAGATTAATACATTTATAAATGTCCCAGGGAAGAGGAGAGAGGACCACACAACCTGAATCCTAGGTTATGCAATGTTCATTTGTCCTGGACTTCTCTCTGCTGCATCAGCATTCTCCTGCTGATGTGTTTACTAAGATCAGAGTTGAGTTTGAGCAAGAGGGCTGGGGAAAGAGAAGGTGTGTTCACCAGGAGAGACTTAAGGGTAAGTTTGCCTGACCACAGCTAGGGTGAAGACAGATCACCTTTTTCCAATCAGGTGCTAAGATTGATTATTCAAAGCTGAACTTCAGTCTTTGTGAAAGCTAGTTTATTTCCCAGTTTATCCTTATTTCTAGCTAGTCCTTGATGGTCCCATCCAAAAGTCTGGGGTATTTATTAGGGCCTCTTCTCTTTGGTGGGACTTCTAAGCCCAGTGAGACAGCCATAAGCTCTGCTCACGTTTTCAGCCACTGCTTTCAGAGTCAGCAGTCACCTCAGCTTTGGAAAAATGATGACAAATATCAGGCTCACCTCTTGTGGCTTCCTTTTTCTTCCAGATCTTGCATTCACAAATTTTCACTTCCTTGGTAGCTCTTCAGTATATTAACGTTTTTATATTTTGTTCAGTTGTTCTCTGTAGTGGAAGGGTTGATTCAAAATACCAGTAGGCCATTGCTGGAAGTGGAATTCCTATATATGCTACTTTAAAAAGATATTATCATACTGTACATGGTGTTTTATAAGCTAATGTCTCTCTGACAATATAATTTTATGTTTTGAGAAATTTAAAATTATAGAACAATATTTTTGCTATCACAAACAATGCTACTATGAACATTCTTGAACATCTCTACTGTGTACAGGGAAACTGCTAGATCCTAAAACATTGCATCTTTAACATCAGTAGATGTATTAGGCAGAAATCTAAGATGGCCCCCATAATCTCTGCTCCCTGGTGTTGCCTATATAATCTCTACCCTTTGAATGTAGTGGGACATTTGACTTCTAGCCAACAGAATATGGCAAAGATGATAGGATGTCACTCCCATGATTCTGTTTCATGATATGAGACTGTCTTTCCAGACCGGAGCTAGAGATTTGCCTGCTGGCCTTGAAGAAGCAAGTTGTCAAGTTGTGTGAACCGCATACGGAGGAGACCATGTGGCAGCAAACTGCAGATTGCTTCTAGAACTTGAGTGCAGCTTCCAGCTGACAATCAGTAAGAAGCCAGGGCCCTCACTCATGCAACTACAAGGAAATGAATTCTGCCAACAACCTGAGAGAGGTCAGTCTCCAGATGAGAAGACAGCCTGACTTATACCTTGATAGCAGTTTTGTGAGACCCTGAGCAAAGGAAACAGCTAAACTGTGCCTGGACTCCTGGTCCACAGAAGCTGTGAGATAATAAATGTGTCTTAAGATACTATGTTTATGGTAATTTGTTATACAATAAAAAAACTAATATGCTAGACATTGCTGGATTAGGCAGTGTACCAATTTAGACTCCATAAACAGTATATAAGATACTCTTTACTTGCTAACAATTGGAAATGTCAGACTTTTAAAATTTTTGCCAATCTAACATATAAATTACTTGAACATAAAAACATGTAAAATAGGTATTTACTTATAATTATGCATTCTGTTGTATTTCTTTTCTGTTGCATAAGTGCAATTAAATGCAGGCTGGGAACAGTGGCTCATGCCTGTAATCCCAGCACTTTGGGAGGCTGAGGTGGAAGGATCGCTTGAGCTTAGGAGTTCCAGACCAGCCTGGACAACACAGCAAGATCCCATCTCTACACACACACACAAAATTAGTCAGGCATGGTGAGTCACACCTGCAGTCCCAGCTATTCATGAGGCTGAAGTGGGAGGATCACTTGAGACCAGGAGTTTGAGCACATCACTACACTTCAACCTGGGTGACAGAGCAAGATGTTATCTCTTAAAAAAAAAGCAATAGAGCTAGTTAGAAATGGCAACTAGTAATAATAAATAGAAGGACTAAATAAGCAAATAATATGTGTGAGAAAAATACAACAATATTTTCTTAAGATTTCTTTCTGTCTTCTAGTATAGCAATTTAGCTCTATTGCATATTTGAATTTTGTTGGCTATATCACCCTAAATTCTTGAGATAAGTAAGTTTAAGAATTTTTAAAAGAATGTATACAATGGCCAGGCACAGTGGCTCACACCTGTAATCCCAGCACTCTGGGAGGCTGAGGTGGGTGGATCACGAGGTCAGGAGATTGAGACCATCCTGGCTAACACATTGAAACCCCACCTCTAAAAAAAAAATTAGCCAGGCATGGTGGCACGTGCCTGTAGTCCCAGCTACTCGGGAGGCTGAGGCAAAAGAGTCACTTGAACTCAGGAGGTAGAGGTTGCAGTGAGCTAAGATAGTGCCATTGCACTCCAGCCTGGGTGACAGAGTGAGATCTGTCTCAGAAATATTAATAATAATAATGTATACAATAGAACTAATGAAACAGATGTTACCTATATTAAATTAAAAATAATGACATATTTCTTTCTGTCCCATGATAGCTTGAGATATTTTTATTCTTTCTACTTCCTTTTCCATTAATACTTCTCTGAACTACTTGGAATCTTTAGGACATTTTTTTTTTGAGATGGGGTCTTGCTCTGTCACCCAGGCTGGAGTGCAGTGGTGCGAACTCAGCTCACTGCAACCTCTGCCTCCTGGGTTCAAGCCAATTCTCCTGCCTCAGCCTCCAGAGTAGCTGGGATTACAGGTGCGTACTGCCACATCTGGCTGATTTTTGTATTTTTAGTAGACACGGGGTTTTCCTATGTTGGCTAGGCTGGTCTCAAACTCTTGACCTCAGGTAATCCACCCGCCTCAGCCTCCCAAAATGCTGGGATTACAGGTGTGAGCCACTGTGCCCGGCCTAGGACATTATTCTTTTCTTTTGTGTAATGATAAACTGAATACAGTCAAACATAAAACTAATTTTGACTTGCAGCTTTGCTCTTCTGCCTAAATTATACTGCTTCTGTTGTCAAAGTAATGACATAAAGCCACCACGCCCAGCCTCCATATGTGAAATTTTTAAAACACTCTGAAGAACAGTGGATGTCTCAGTTAAGCCTCATTTCCCCAGAGAAAATGGTTTATGGGCCGGGCGCGGTGGCTCATGCCTATAATCCCAGCACTTTGGGAGGCCGAGGCAGGCGGATCACCTGAGGTCAGGACTTTGAGACCAGCCTGACCAACATGGAGAAACCCTGTCTCTACTAAAAATACAAAATTAGCTGGGTGTGGTGGCACATGCCTGTAATCCCAGCTACTCAGGAAGCTGAGGCAGGAGAATCACTTGAACCCAGGAGGCGGAAGTCTCAGTGAGCCGAGATTGCGCCATTGCACTCCAGCCTGGGCAACAAGAGGGAAACTCTGTCTCAAAAGAAAAGAAAAGAAGAGAAAATGATTTATACACTTCTAACTCTTCTGGAAAAAAAAAAAAATGAGCTTATAAAATCGAAGTTAGATTTCAAGTAAGTTTACAGGCATAGTAAAGAAATCCAGAAAGTTCTGTTTAATTTGCCTTTTTCTGGAGACTTTTAAGTTCTGAAGCAATCTTATTTCCAAAAAGTTGGCCTATTTTTCTGTGTTGGAATTTTTATCGCAACCTACACATAACATTGAACAACTCAAGTCAGTGAGTTTATCCCTTTGTAGGCTCTTTATGGTGTCTGCAAGGATTATCAGACGGTTTTGGAGAACCAGCAGGTTTATTTCTGCTTTACTATAAACCTTATCTCCATTCTCACCCTCAATATATTTACAAATTGAAGCAGACCATTCTGTTTTGTTCCACACTTAAAGATATTTTATGGCAAGCCAACATTTTAACATCTTTTCTCTGGCCAGCTTCAGCGATGGCCACCTAGTAGGCATGTGTTTAAGGAAACCATCTCCTCCCATTTACATAAAGTCAAAAATTTTACTAAGTGCTTCTGTACATTTTTGAGGAAATTGAAATGACCAAAAACTTTCATTATCAAAAGGCTCCATTTCTCAGTAAGCAAATCATAGCTCTCTTTTAGCACTGGTTCACAGATGAAATCCTTTCATTTTCTTTGGTAAGAAATTTAGAGACTGAATAGAATTCATCAAAATTATCATTTACATCAAAATCATATAAATGAGCCAAGTCTGGTTTGTATTTGGCCAAGATATGATACCCTTTGCTTTGTGATTTATGATTTTGTTAAAATCTTAATAGACATCAAGATGACAATTTGAAACTCCATTTTTCAAGTCAAATTGCCTAAGAGCTAGAGGGAAAGAACAATTTTTTTTTTTTTAAATGGAGTATTGCTCTGTCACCCAGACTGGAGTGCAGTGGCATGATCTCAGCTTACCACAGCCTCCGCCTCCCAGATTCAAGTGATTCTCCTGCCTTAGCCTCCGGAGTAGCTGGGACTACAGGTGTAGTCCACCACACCTGGCTAATGTTTTTTGTATTTTTAGTAGGGACGGGGTTTTGCTATGTTGGCCCGGCTGGTCTCAAACTCCTGGCCTCAAGTGATCCACTTACCTCAGCCTCCCAAAATCCTGGGATTACAGGCATGAGCCACCACACCCAGCTAAGGGAACACTTTTTGAGTCAGGAAATGTACCTTTACATAGTTTCATAGAGTGGTGCAACAGTGGATGATAATTACTGTGAACATCATGGTTGCCAACGTCAATAAGCAGGAAAGAAAATGACAGTGATGACATAAGGTGAATAATCTATGCTATACCCATTAAATACTAAAAGCAGTGTTTTTTTAGTTATCATATTTTTTTTGGCTATCATATGAGTTTTGTACTTTTCATCCCAACCTCCACACCCAACACAGAAAACCAGGATTTTTTATGTCCAGGGAGGGTTTTCCAGGATATGGGAATTTTAGTGCAAAATCTGGGAAGTCAAACAAATGGGGACAATTGATCACTCTTCCTCACATCTCCTTCATCAGACTAGTTTGCCCATTCCCCTACCTGCTGTGAGTGGGGCTGGCAACCCTACTGCCCCATTTCTCTGAAGAATTGCCCTAGCCCTAACAAGAGCCACCTTGCTAGAAGGCTCCCACCACCCAGAGAGGGCAGACCAAGGCCAAAAGCTATAGCAGACCTGGGCCAAAAACTGGGTTCAAAAGGCCAACCCTTCTGCAGAGGGCTACTTACTTCTAATGATAGAATTTGTAGTCCCAGCACAGTGGTTCATGCCTGTAATCCCAGTACTTTGGGAGGCCGAGGTGGGCGGGTCATTGAAGTCAGCAGTTCAAGAAAAAGCTAGCCAACATGGTGAAACCCTGTCTCTACTAAAAATACAAAAATTAGCTAGGTGTGGTGGAGCACACCAGTAGTCCCAGCTATTCAGGAGACTGAGGCGGGAGAATCACTTGAACCCAGGAGGCAGAGGTTGCAGTGAGCCAAAATCGTGCCACTGCACTCCAGCCTGCGCAATAGAGTAAGACTCCATCTTAAAAAAAAAAAAAAAAAGAATTCGTGCTCTAGAGTTTCCTCTTAGAATTAGACTAAAGCAAGTCTTCAGCTGAGACTATTAATATATTCTTGCCAACATTCCCCCCCCACCCCTCAGCTGTGCCCTGTGCTGTCTCCATTATTCCCACATCCTGAGAGTACTCCCGAAATAACTAAACATGAATTCCTATCTCAGGCAGCTGGATCACTTGAGGCCAGGAGTTCAAGATCAGCCTGGGCAACAATATAGTGAGACCCCCATCTTCTACAAAAATTAAAAAATAGGGCCGGGCGCGGTGGCTCAAGCCTGTAATCCCAGCACTTTGGGAGGCCGAGGCGGGTGGATCATGAGGTCAAGAGATCGAGACCATCCTGGTCAACATGGTGAAACCCCGTCTCTACTAAAAATACAAAAAATTAGCTGGGCATGGTGGCGCGTGCCTGTAATCCCAGCTACTGAGGAGGTTGAGGCAGGAGAATTGCCTGAACCCAGGAGGCGGAGGTTGCGGTGAGCCGAGATCACGCCATTGCACTCCAGCCTGGGTAACAAGAGCGAGACTCCGTCTCAAAAAAAAAAAAAAAAAAAAAAAAAAAAAAAAAAATTGTAATGCAAACACCAAATAGCAGTTTCAACTTTCGTATGAAAAAGCAAATAAGGATTTAGTTGTATTCTTTGACATATGAATTCTGACTTTCAAGTAGTACTTAGCTTCTAATTGCAAATATTTGCTGCAAATTTTTTAATGTATCCTAAAAATATTGACACCAAACAACCTCCAGTATGAAAAGGTATTTAATAAACATTGCAGAATATTTATACATACTTAGATAATTTATGTATTATACATAAACTTGAGCAACACAGGTATCTTGAATACATACATAAATACATAGATACTATACATCATATATGTATGTATA